CTGAAAATTCGTTTTAAGGGAAATGATAATGGGAATATTAACAGTACGACTGTCGGTTGAAGTTTATAAAATACTAGCAGTAGAGCCCGGCGTTTCCCGGGGATGTAACAGTAAGAGATAGATCAAGTATCGACCATCATAAAGACTGAAAAATAGAATTGACAAAGATTATTGCTTAAGGTTGACGGACACGCATGTCTTAATTAGTTTTTTTTTTTTTTATGAATTGGTCAAACCCAAACAAAAACATTGTCTTCAATCGTTATGAGTCTACCGATTGAATAGAATTTTATTATAAACAATTGTCTTGTAAATGGAATTTTTAAAGCATTCTGAATGTTAAAAATAAAGAAAAAAGTGTGCAAGACAATAAGAAACACTACCTGCCAAAAAAAAAAGTGAAGTTTTGTTGAAGTCAGTTGAAAAATGTAAGAAATCCGATCCCATATATAAACGAACTCACACAAACAACCTGGGTTTTATAATAAGTATAACTCGATACGAGTTGTCCCCCTTTCATTCTCGTGATGCCTCTTAATCGTGTTTTCAAATTGATTTCGTGCAAAAACAATTGTGTTTTTCCAATTTTTGGCACTGTTAGAACCACCTCAAGGTAATTTTATGTAGTCCTGTGAAGTTTTGTTGAAATCGGTTGAAAAATGTAGGAAATCCGATCCAATATATAAACGTACAGACACACACACAACCTGGGTTTTATAATAAGTAAGATTTCCCTTAAAACATTTCTTCTAGGAAAATAGCTTTCTCGAGAGAAGTAGCGGTTACCGTTCTTTCTTTGATCGATGGCGGTTTCCTTCCTAATCTTTCATCTTAGTGTGGAATATCAACATCTTGATTATGTTATTTTCTCTTTGAGTTACACGTGATATCCCTTAACTGCTGCTGCTGTTGGTAGTCCTCAAGTGATGTGGTTTGTCTTATTTGATGCAGTAATTTGTTTGTGATTCTTTAGCGCTAGACCATAAGGTTCAAAGAAGGCTAGTTTTCGTGAAGAACCACAGGGTTCACTCACTCAAAGCCATTTTTGACCATAGATCTTTTTATACATTCTCCCTCATAAGGAAACGGCTAATATTACCAGTGACATGAATTTGGCTTGAATACTGAAATTACTGCTTAATTCAGAAACAGAAAAAAAAATAACGTAAAGTTTAATCTGATTTGCTCATCGTTGTCATTATTAACTGTGAATTATATAACTTCCCAGTGGGATCCTTTGGCGTGTGTATGTTGAGGATCAAAATGAAACCGATCACAAGTCTGTAATTTAATTACAATGTCTAATACTTCATCTCAGAATCTGATAAGGTATTGGATTAACTTTGGAAAGGTGTTGGCGGTCAGGGATTGCTTGAATATTCCGGTGTCTCTAGAGGAAAATCATTCATTGTGCAATAAATTAGAAATGTCATCTAATATTTCGGTGCATGCTATGGAAACTTAATACCACCATAACCATTCAAATTATGATTCGTATAATTCTATTATCACTTTCTTATACCGTTCAAATATGGCGCTATAACACCTATAACTTGTACATATTTCTTTAAAATTTTAACTGTCATTTTGTGGAATAAACTCCTACGTGGACTTTTCACCGAACCTTGTAATCTTAACCTCCAAGTCAAAGATCAATCGTTATATATCCTTTGTTATCCTCACGATCATAATTAACATTTCAACTGTATCGTTCGGTCTTGAGTGGCTCTCAAAGCCTGTGTTGAGTGATATTTCGTATAAATAAGGATACAAACTTGAAAGCGAAAGGATTTTATCACCTATTTAAAACCTATGGTTAGGAAATATGAGAAATGCACTATATAGAACAAATCTGCTGTTAATTGTTCGGATTCGGTTTTGAGAATCAAAAGAAATCATTATAATGATTTCCGGCACGCATCTAAAGACTTTTAGACCAATATATTATCAATGATATTATTAGTCTATATATTATGTCCTTATAAGCATAATGCAGCAGTTGCTTCTATTTCAGATGTTATTGTAGCAAATAGCAATAATACTATGGACTGGGCGCGTAAACAGCGGCAAATTCTTAAGGAAAATTAAAACAAAAAGGACACACCTACCCAAAATCCGAAAATGGTCGTAATCTTGAATACATAAGGAGGAAAGACGGTGTGGAGTATTTGAAACTCACCGGACATAGCAAAGAATAAAATAGATAGTCGGCTATCGAACTGCCCATCTTGCATTTGTAGAGGACCGGTGGTTGTTGTAGTTGAAACATGTGTGTAACTCCTGGTAGAATATTAAAAGGTCCAACTACAAAAAAAAAAAAAAAAAAAAAAAATGGCCAGTCTTGAATTAAGTCCAACTGAAGATAAAGAAGACAAACAAGACTGATATATATATATATATATATATGTGTGTGTCAACTAATATATGTATTAAACAAAACAATTTTACAATGGACATAGAAAATAATATGTGTGTGTGTATGTGAACGTTTGTAGCTGTTCTTTGGTGAATGTTCGTATGTACGTGTATGTGTGTATAATGTTCATGGCGTATTCCCAGAAGTGGGAAACTCTGTCCTTTGTGAGAGCTCATTGTAGTCGCTGAAAAGAAATGAAAAAGGATTTACCTCACTTCCACGCGAGGTGGGATGCGGCACGAGGCCTGAAGGAAAGAGAATGAGGCAAGAGGTCGCCCAGTATTTATCGTATGTGGAGAGAGAGACCCCTAGTGACAATTGGGAATTAAGGAGGAGCTAACTCCGACACATTCAATGGATGGCGGAACGAGGATGGAGAAAATGGCATTAATACAAGAAATACAATGGATATGAAGTTGTGGAGAGCCATGGTCATCCATGTTCTAAAAAGATAAGGCCCAGAGAAAAAGAAGATTGTAGCGGATACACTTATTGGGTTTCAGAGAAATTTTGTGACAGCATTTTAAACTGGGCTTGAGAGCCGCTGAAGCCAGTCGTCAATCTGGAAAGTGGAGAAAAATGAAACGATATTGAACGGCATTGTTCAAAAGTGATCGAAGCATTAAAAGCGGGGGAGTTTACCCCGGAAGTAAAACCTAAAATCGATCAGCCATTTTTTATTATGTTGCTTTAAAACACAAAGGAGAAGAGAACCTAACGACCAACACTTGAAATAATTTCAATAGAGGAAGCGTTATCGCAAGATATATGCAAAGAATTGGGTAAGCTGAATGATAGAGGGGCTCCCCACATGTACATCATGATTAAAAAACGAAAATTATTTTAATACATCCATATAGAATGTAATCTCAGATTTTTTTTTTCAAACAACATGCGTCTGTTTTGGAGTTTGATATATCAAACCTTTCTCATTTTCTGTTCATTCGAGAGAATGTCGAAGTTGTAGCCTATGGCTACAGAAAAACATATTAGTAATTTTCCTAAACATTTTACACATCTAAGCAATGTATTACAAATTGAAATCCGGTTGGTATACAAGACACGTAATCAATACTTCCTTCCATCTTGGTTTTAGCAATTTGAAAATGCCATCTGTTCTAAAAGAGATTTTTCGATAAGAAATTATTAATCTTTTGCTAATTTATGCTGAAGTTATTTCAACGTTCAGGTTATTTTACATTCTACGGTTATTAAATAATCCATCGAAGCAGCCTCTGTGAAAACGAAGTGAGCAAGCTAATCTTACAGTTAGTATTGTAATGGGTTTAATCCACACTGTGTGTCTCGTAATTATTATTGTAAAGGAATTGGCCATGATTACGTGTAATTGGCAGAAATACCCAACAGAGTTGATAAAGTTTCCAATAAACAATAACAAAAGAAAGAAAAAGAACATAACGAAATAATACTAAGCAAATAATATATATGGCAGACAAAACTAAGCAAAGCAACAGTAATAATTCAAAATATTCACAAAGTAAGAATAACACGCAAACAGGATACAGTCATTTGATTGTAGGGTTCTGACTTCCAGACAAGAAATAATAAAATTATAGCAGCTGAAACCGAGAAGTTGTCTATCTTATTGGCTAGGAAGAAATCCCAGCATGCATCTGTACGTTTTGTTTATAAATTTGGGAAGAAGATATTTTTAGTTGTGATTCCTACTGAAATTTTGTAGCCCATGTGATACATTAAAATTATTTATAATAAATCTTAATTCCAACCAGGATTGAAACCAATAGTCGTCTTGTCACTCAATTAAAATGAATAAATTCTAACAGGTTTCCCGCTGTGGAGATATGGTTAAAGATGCAGCCTTGGAGGTTAGGATCACTATAGAGAATTCGATTAAAAATAAAATTTGTGACTCCAATCTGATTTTATGATTATCTTTTTCCGACAAATATTTAATTCGTCATAATTCATTTTGCGACTTGCCAGTCGGAATTCCACGGAATCGAATATCACTTATCGGTTTCCAGCAAGACTCGAGCTCGTATTTTCTTTTCTTCGGGAGACCTGTGTTAGCGAACAGTTAGCTTACTGATGAAACCACGGAAACAATTAGCCGTAACCTCTCAAATCAGTTATATAGATCTCATTCGTCATAGAGGCGATTTTAGTATGAAGTGTGAAGTTGCAATTAAATGCAAGTGAAAGTAAGATGAAATAAATATCAAGGAGGGAAAGGATACTGATTAACTATTTAAGTTTATCTTATAATAAATACAAGATAAATTTAATAGATATTGATATTAAATGTTTGTATTAATTTTAACACATTAATAATATCAATTTTGTGGATAAAAAACCCAAAAAAAACCTTCGCTTTACGTTGTCTTTGACATAAGGTTTAGCATACAGCTAAATAAACAGGAGGACGTGTTAGTATTATGTCTCAACTTGAAATGTTTTTGTCATATTTGGGATATGTGATGCGAGCTTTTGCCCAGCAGATCTTTTCGGAAGAGAAGCCACATCAATTGAGAATAGATAGTTATCAAGTGATCTTCGACCTGACAAAAAAATAACCGCTCGTGCAGCTATTTTTTCAGAACAATTATAAAGAAAGAAAAAAAAAAGGTAAATGAGATGGCGAAGGAGGAGAAGGGAGTGGATAAATATGAAGTGGGAAGAGGAGCATCAGAAGGCGAGGGGGTGGAAAATGTGAAAGGAGGAAGAGTATGATGAGAAATATATGAGGAATAGAAAAAGTATGAGGAATAGAAAAAGTAGGAGGAAAGGGGGCAGTACGAGGAGAAGGGAAGAAGTAGAAAGAGCAAAACATGACGAATGCGGCATTAGAGAGAAAGACAATGAAACAAGAGGAAAAGGAAGAGCTGAAGGTGAAGAAAAAGGAGGAGAAGGAGTAGAAGTGTACGAAGAAGAGTGGGAAACTGAAGAAGTGATGAAGAGAAATAGAAACTGAAAACAAAAAAAGAGGAAGTAGAGAGTGTGAAATAGAAGGGGAGGATGAGAAGGAGAAGAATGAAAGCAAGACAAATACGACATAGGAGGGAAAGCAAGAGAAGTAGAAGATTAAATAATGAAGTGCAGAAAGGAGAGAATAAGACGACAAAGAAAAGATAGGAGGAGGAGACGAAATGGTTGATCTAGAGAAAGAAAGAGACAGAGGGAAGGGAGAAGGAAGGGACAGAAAATTTGTAAGGGGAAAAGAAGGGGAAAAGAAGAAGAAAAAGTGGAAGAAAGGAAAGGAAAGGTGCATGGGGCTAAGATAAAGAAAAGAAGGAATAGAAGCGCTGAGAGAGGTGCAGAAGGAGGAGTTGTTGAGGAACAGATGAGATAGAAGAGGAATTAAGAAGACAGGTATAGAGAGAAGAAGAACGAATAGAAGAGATGAAGAAGGTTAAAGAGAGGAAGGGGAGAAGGAACAGATGAAATGGAAGAAGGGGATACGAAGAAAGAGACAGGGAGAAAAACAAGAAGGAGGAATGGAAGAGTTGGAAGAAAGAGAGGAAGAAGGTTAAAGAGGGCAAGGGGTGAAGGAACACAGATGAAATAGAAGAGGGGGAATAAGAATAAAAGAAGAGTTGGGAAATGAGAAGGCGGAGAAAGAGAGGAAAGGAAGAAGGAAAATAAGGGGAATAATAAAGAAAGAAAGAAAGAATAGGAACAGAGAAGGAACAGATGTTTCCAAGAAGAAAAAAAGGATATAGAAAAAAAAGTAATAGACCAGTAGGGGCGGGGAAGAAACAAAGCGAAAGGGGAGAAAAAGGAATAGAAAAGTAGAGGAGGGAAAGAAGGAGAAAGAGAGGATGAAGGAATAATTTGAGGAAGAGAAGACGAAGAAAGAATCTGAGGGAATATAGACATCGCAATAAAACAGATTTTCACGGATTCAACTCCGATATATCCACCAGTTCTTTGCGGGTTTGGGTAAGGGTTAGAAACCTTATTTTTCATATCATTCCCATTCTAAGAATCAGCCGTTCAATGTCCTGTATTCACGTTATATCAGAATTGTTAGACATCGAAATTGTAAACACACTACAAACAAAGGTTGTGGGGGTTAAGGATGGGCAAAGAGTAAAACTTGACAACCTTGGACTTGTCTCTTTGTTTCCAATGTCGGCGCTTTCTTTTATGCGTATTTTCCACATTCATCTTTCTGTATCGTTGGATTGGGTTTCTCGTCCGTTTTGTATAATCTCACGGAAAATCACGATTCTTCTCGGGGACGTTGCTTGGCAACCAGGCTCTGAAAGTATAAAAGAGAGAATAAGAAATTTCTAAAGAAACTTTTCTCAACATTTGCTTTATAGTTCTGCCATTTAATATGATCTTTCGATTTACATGGGAGGGGGCAAGAGAAATGTAACATTTCTCTGATTAATAAACAAAAAGAAAAACTTTGTGTTTATGAAGAAAAGTAAATCATTTCCATTCTTTTAAGAACATAAGATTTTATAAAAAATGCACATTGTCTGTTTGTTGAAGTGTATATTAATATTCTCGTTCTTGTTATACATTATTAAGTTTAGTACAGTGAAATCAAAAATTAGATAAGCAGCTGGGAAATCAGCATTTAATTTTTTTTGCCTGAGATCAAATATCAGTCTCTGACATTGGTGTCAATAATACGAGTGCTTCAGTTACGGACTATTTTTTTATTATCGGAATGAAAATTAAAATTATAATTACATTCGAGGAAACAAAAATAGACAGGGGTGTTTAATATAGTAACAACTCCAAGAAGAAGCTTATGAAACTTTATTTTACTAATTCAGCTTTAGCGCCGAAAAACGTATATTTTATTATGATTGGTGGTTAAAAGCGAGAGGGGAGATGGGATGTGCTTATTTTATTACCACAAGTTGTAAGAAAAATATCTTTTCATCAGATTTATTCAAATTTTACAGTTAAGCAATCCTGAAGTCATTAAAAGTATTATTGGCAAGGGTTTTTCTCTGTCTTTTCTATAGGTTCCTCCTTTAGGTCACGTAAAAAAAGCAGCATATCACGATGAAAAAAGGTCCATAAATCAACGAAAACAAAGTTTTGTCTCAATATGTTTATGTTGTTATGAAGAGGAAAGAGACAAGTATTTTTAAAATATTTTTTGAAATTTTTTACTCCTTTCTAGCAAGTAGAAAATTTTGGTTAAAAATTGTTTTTTTTACGACAGCGCGAAAAGACTAAAAAAAGGTTTGTTTTATTTTGCGCTTTTCCCGAGGAAAACACACGTTAATTTAGGACATTCTTGCAAAAATCAAATAATTGTCGGATTTTAATGAAACTTTCAGAACTTATTCACAAATGAATGAAATTATTTTTGAAATTTTTTATTTTTTTTTATTAGAAAATCTTGTTAAAAAGAGATTTTTTTTTTTTAACATTTTTCTACCCACTTAAATATTTTCATGAAATTTCGAGAAATTAAATCTTCACGCGCGGGATTTGTTTTATTAGTTATAAACAGGACTCTTTTAGAAAAAAGTAAATTTTTTTTTTTTTTTTTTTTGGAAAACAGTACCCGGTTTCATAGAAAATCTGTTTTGAATTATAAAAAAAAAATATATAAAAAAGTATGACATTAGTTAAAGAAAAGCTTTCACCTGTTTTTGTAAATACGTTATACTAAGGACATTATTTTGTGAAGAAATAAATTTTTTTCGATGAATAATGTATTTTTTACAAATCTTTTTTTCCATTTTTAAATTTTTTTCATTAACTTCTTAATACTTCAAAAATCGTTTAAAATTCTTTATTGCTTTCAAGCACGTAATGCAATGATAACGTTAATGAAAAAGTAAATTTACGAATCGAAATTTGAAAAGCACATAACAGTCGTTTGATACAAAATATTTTTAAAATAATTTAAAAAAAAATTTATTGAAAAAAAAAAAACGTTCATAATTTCTACGTATGGAAATGTATACATGACATAATCCTTAAAAAATTTTAAACAATTATCTAATTAATAAAAAACTTTAAACTATTATCTAATTAAGAAAGTATGAAATAAAAAATAGATATTACATAATTGCTGAATAAAACTGTTAATATTTAAAAAGTACTAGTTAAAAACGAAAAACCGCGTTCGCTTACTTTGCAAAAATTGTCAATTTTGATCATCCATAGTAATCTGTCATCACATCGTCACAATCGATTTCTTTGATAAATTCAGACACATCGTTAAGACATGTTTGGATACAAATTTTTATGCTATAAGTAAGTACTGTTTGTTTCATATCAGATTAATTTAACTTTAAATTTTCTAATTTTACTCAAATAACGTGTCAAAATATATATAAATTTATTTTAGGAAGAAGTTTAAAATCAAAATTTTGTTTGTTTACAAATTTCTTAAAATTTAAGAAAATGGCCTCTTTTAAGAAAATTAAACAAAAATCGAGCATATATTTGACATTCCAATCTATATAATTTCTGTCTGAAAGACACCAGAATATGTTACTTACTGTAAGTAATAAATTTAATGCTTTAGCTTTCAATTAATAACAACATATTGAGACAACACTTTGTTTTTGTTGATTTATGAGTCTTTTTTAATCGTGATATGCTGCTTTTTTACGTGACCTAATGGAGGACCCTATATTTTCTATAAATATTTTCATGGAAACTGTTCTGATGAGCTTTTTTCACTGCTGCCTCGACTACATGAATTTAATTTTGCTAGTATATTGGAAATTAGTCCCCACAGTTTAACTTTTGAACTAGTCTAGATGCATCGTCACTTCTAATCTAATAGTTACTTTTTAGCACTTCTCACACGTGGAAATCTCATTCGATTTTTTTGTTTTTTTGACATCCACAATCATCAAAAATTGAAATGCAACCTCAAATGCCATCTTCTGACTTCCTGAACCCTGTTCTTTTATTGTCCTTTCCTAACTGCTCCTCACTAAAATCTTCTAATTTTTTTTTCAATCCCTATAACACGCTGCGCGCTAGTGGTATTATCGCCTTCCTTGGAGTGAAACAATTAAAAAAAAAAAAGACTAATTATTGGCGGCCACAACCTCAACAACATTAGATATGCAAATTATACTGTGGTATGATCAAATTTCTTCCATTGATTGATATGTCATAAACACATACAATCAGGAGAACTCGGCTGCTATGCAGAGTTCACCAAACCTCTGTGTTTGCGAATAATCTACTTGTCGACCTCTCTGCTTTCGAGTGGAGAGTAACCCAGACAAGGCTATGCTGGAAAGCAGAGTCTCATCTAGGGAAGTAGACAGTTACCAGACGCAGTTATTACGGGGTCTACAGGGAATTTTTGCCCAAGGCTTAAAAAAAAAGGCCTTGTTTCACATCCCGACTAGTTTCACCAAAGCTCTGAGTTTGCCAATACTCTGCTTGTCGACCTCTCCACCTTCGGGCGGAGAAGAACTCCGACGATGCTATACCTATGGGTAGAGTATCGTCTGGGATGGTAGACAGCCGCCTGACCCCGTGTATACGATGAATTTTGCCCTAGCGTACGCGCTCGGAATGTCCAACGTTAAACCGGCCTTGTGCCACACTCGCTTCGTTGGAAGCTCGATTAAATACGGAGTTCATCAAACCTCTCAGTTTGCCAATACTCTGTTGTCGACCTCTCTGTGGGATCTACGGAGAATTTTTAAGCGAGCGTACGCACTCGGAAATACCCACTTTGGTAACCGGCTTTGTGCCACCACCCGCCTTTGTTCAGAGGACTAGGATAAATACCGAGTTCATCAAATCTTTGATTTTGACAATACTCTGCTTGTCGACTTCTCCACCTTCGAGCGGAGAAGAACTCCGACGATGCTATACCGATGGGTAGAGGTTCGTCTGGGGCGGTAGACAGCCGCCCGACCCCGTGTATATGGGGTCAACGGGGAATTTTTTGACCGGGTTTACGCGCTCGGAAAGCCCCACTTTAAAAACCGGCCTGGTGCCACATCTCGCCTTGTGGGTAGGACTTGAGAAAATACAGAGTTCACGAAAACTCAAAGGAGGCAAGCTGTCCTCTGCTTGGCTCGGTATTGTCATGTTGTCTGTCTTCGGGCAGAGGGCGACCCATTTGGGTATCTGTCTAGCGTTGGAGAATCAGCTAAGAAAAACAGACAAGAATGTGGGAGCTGGGTAAATTTGGACCAATAGCCCGTGTGGACACACTCAGGTTCCTCACAGTAATCTGGACCGTGTGCCACATCTGATCTCAATGGGAGGACTGGTTAAAAACAGAGTTCATTAAAATTTACTGTTAAGCAATGGAGTATTGTCACAAACAATTCTACTGCTGTTGATAGCAGACATAAGAAGGAAACTATTAGAACCACAGAAGATAGTGGAGGAAATGACTAAACATCAATTGCATATTAACATGATGTATGGTAAAGCCCAATATGCAAATTACAAATTGGGAATAGCAAAATCAAGCAAGTAAAACAAAAAATATCTAGGAAGTTTTATTTATATTAAGTTTTTCTTTCATAACTACTGAACCAGTAAAATCGATTATCGCACGTGTTTACTCATTATTTACCAATAGCAAGTTCATTTTTGGGTCCTGTTTTGGAGGAACCTTCTGAATGTAAAAATTCAGAAAGCATTTTATCTGTTTCATTCTCTAGAAAGGATCTCCTGTCTGTGAATATGTCACTGGTCTGTATGTTCATATTCTAGTCGCTTGCATAGTTCCCAGTGGATCACCGTTTCCCACCAGTCATGCCTATTTTGTGTTCCTTTAATGTTAATTTGCAATATTTTATGAGTATGTAGTTTAATATATCGTCTTTACTTCCTCGTTGTCTGCCTCGGATTTTATATAGTCGGATTGTATGACATTGTGTCGCTATTGAGAATAAGTCAGTTTACCT